GTAAATTTTTTTGCCCTTCCAGTGGAGAGGAATGCTCACTAAAGCACCTCTGTCCATTCTTGCTGGAAAGGGTCAGGAGCTATGGAAAGATAAAAAACCAAAACCAACCAAACCAAGAGAGAAAGGACAATTAGCTGTAGTCTCTGTGCCACCATAATCTACCATGGACTTTGGGATGCATCCTTGGTTTGTCCTAATTTAAAGTTTGGTGGCAAAAGTATTTCTGCGGGCTGTCGCATTGCACAGGAGCCTAAGCCCATGGTAGAGGTGAGGTAGAAGTGAAGTTACATCAACTTTTGGCAAAAGTTTACAAATGTGTGGGCACTTGGCACAATGTCAGCTCACTGGGGGTGTGGAAGAAGGGGGACAGTCCTGCTAGGAAGGGTAATGTCCCTCTTGTTTATGTGCTTCTGGAGTCTACTGATGGGAGGAGGAGGACAGGAGGCTGSCAATGTAGTGGACATCACCTGAGATTGTCCTTGTTCTGGAGGATGCCATCCATCAGGTGTCCCAGAAACGAAGAAGCTGTTCAGAAGGGCAGCAGGCAAGCCAGAAAAAGATGCTGCATTGCTGCTCAGGGGGCTGGTTCTCTAAAGTTAATATGGAATTGGAAAGGTACCACAAGCCTGAGGAGCCCTGCCAAGAGAGCTGCATTGCTGTGCCAGCTTCTTTCCAAAACAGAGCTTAGTCTTTGGCTTTCCTCCTCACTTTGCTCACTCTCCTTATTTCTTACCTTCATTTTCCATTTTTAAACTTTGTGGATCAGCATACTGTGCACTTACAGAACACCTAGTTCTACAGTAGCATGCAGAAGGAAGCATACCAGCACGTGCCTTAAAATATTTCTTTCTGCWCTATATGTGTATTATGGCTTGGTATCCTCTCATGGCACTGCAGTGCTAAGAATCTACTGAATCTGTGAGCCAAATAYGTGATTTAAGATCTCTTTTTTTGTATTTGCTACAACAGAAATACTGTTCAAGCCCATGAAGTGCCCATGCCCCAGCTCTGGAAAAGGAGCACACAGCAATTGGGGTCAACAGAGGGACAGGAGTTAATGCTGTGTCAGGGAGGCATGAACTGGATGTATGAAAGCTGGAGCGGTGGCTGGGAAAAATGCCTTTCCAGGGAAAAGAACGGTTATGTGAGTGCATGGGGGAGGGAAGAGGTGAAATTCCACAAAGCTCAGAAAGCGTAAATGAGCAAAACACTTTGTCAGGCMCCCAAGGTGGATAGGCACTGCTGTATGGTGCTTTCTATCAAACAGTACTACCAGGATTCCAGCCTGGCTGGGGTTCTGCCTGTACCCATGTCATCCCATCCYTGATATTCAGTGATCCTGACTCTGATCTACCATTGCATCAGTCTTGAATATTCTTTCAAAGTGTATTGGCTTCAAAGCCAATCTCTGCTATTCTGTGTTTGTGTCAACATTGGTCTGCATTCCCAAAACCTAGTGAGAAGATCGCTGTCACTTGCAGGCCCAGGGCATTTCCTGCCCTTCACTTCTTCAGACATGACAAGGGGTCATGGTGGGGCACCAAATAAAACCCCTCAAYAGACAGGCACACGGTACCAGCATATTCCTCCCTTGAAGCGAGTGGCCAAGGGGCAGCCCTTGGCCAACATTTAGCCAGTGAGATGATGTCTGATGTGACACTGGGTCAATAGTGAGCACAGGAGCAAATGAACAGGAAAATACAGAGCAGTAATGCGGCAGGGAATGGCAGTGGGAGGACCTGGCAGATGCACAGGGGCTGATTCACAAGGGAGATGCAGCCCCACCTATGCTGCTGCAMGCAAACTTGCCCTGCACTTCACAACAACTGCATTCAAAATGGGTTTAATAACACACCAAAATGTCACCTGGTTCCCAGCAGGGAACTGTGGAGGGGACACCAGTCACACCAGGTGAGACRGCTCAAACTGAACTGCACCAAAATCCAAGTGTCAACAAGTTGCTGCTGAGCAGAGCAGGTATTTTGACCTAATAGCAGAAATTGCACCTCTCKATGGGCACAGGAAATGATGGGGGACTGGAATCCAAGGGGATGACAAATAAGAATGAGAATAACAAACAATTATGACTGTTTAAAGAAAAAAAAATAACAACAAACTAAGAAACAATTCTGCCTCACACC